CTTCCGATGGACAAACCCTGATGATTCCATGTAATGCCTAACATTGTCACTTTCATTCCTTTGCAGTGCATCAGATACTTTTTGAATTACTATTACATGGTGTGACCATATTTACTAGGGACATTAGCAACATTTATGAAACACATAATTAAATTACTTAACTGTCTGTCACTTAAAGGTATATGAGTATTTTCCCAAATCTTAGGAAAGAACCTCCTTCTCCACTCTTAATTGACGAGCATGTATCACCAGAAAGATTGACCATTGGAGGACCAATAGTCCTAATGATCCACGTGGAAGTAGAAAATCCTCCTATAAACCTTTAAGTAGGTTGTAGAAATGTTCAACAAGTGTTTATGTTGAGAATTTCAATAACTCATTTAGCTCAATCATTTTGATGCCTTGCATATGAAACAAGATGCTTTATGAGACACCCGTCTTTACCAATCAAAAGCCATAACCATGTCTTCCAAAAAAATGAGTTAACTTATGAGAAAAGCACCAGTCATGCAAAAGACAGCTCTAGACGTTGTGTACTAATTAGTGAGATGATGAGCTCCATGAATAATAAAGCCGCCATATGTAACACACAGCGGAGACGTGGAGAAGAGGGGTTGATGAAATAGAATGCAAGGTCTTCATTAGGCGACGAGTTTCCAACCTGCTTTAGATCAGCGCTGCCCTGGGACGCCGCTGCTCCCAGCCCCTCACAACACACAAGAAAGTCACTTTGAAGCCCGCAGTGGTGGACGTGAACAAAACTTTAAACAAGTCAGAAAAAAAACAACAAACTCGAGTTGAATGAGATGGTGAAAGCGGAACCCGCAGACTGTTTTTTTTTTATGCCACAAACAAAGCCACCAATCAGAGACCATTTACAATCAAGGAGACGGGAGGGCAAAAGGGAGAGAAAGGATTTCATCATGATGTCATCAGCAGAGGGAGGCTGTTTTTCCAGAAATAATACGGAATATGAATCCTCAATATGTTTAGTGGTTCAGCACTTACTTACTCACAAGATCTGATTTATTTCCCTTAAAGCTGGGGTACCTAACTTTATCCATAATAAAGAATGTATTTAGTTTTCTCCAACTGAAGGTAAAAGTTAAATTTTGTGAATGAATGGCACCACAACATACTGTAATCTACGTGCATGTTGTAAATTCACACACAGTATTTGATGCTTTGGTCTGAGAGCTGATTGGCTGATTGGAGGTGGTCCTCTCGTTTCCACTAGAGGTGACAGCCAGAAAATACATAAATGTGAAGACTGGAGATAGAAACAGAAAGAACGAGGAACTAGTTTTACCATTTTACACAGCTCCTTTGTTGTGTTTTTGAAGCAGGTACCTATTTTGTTTTATTATCATATAAATCCTGGTGGGACATAAAGGCAGAAACATAAGGAGGCAAATAAGTCAGCTGGCTCATCTGGATATGGGGCAGCAGCGGCTCTAGTTTGAGCTCTTACCACGTGATTGTGCTTCTCATTCTACTTTTAATTACAGCAACACAACGTTATACTAAAATAAAACAAAATCTGTAACTCTACTGTAGCATAAGAAGAAGGAGTATAAAATCTCTAGCTTTAGCATATTTTTTTCACATCTGCTATTGGCGAATCAAAAATCTGTAGATATTTTGGGTCTAAAAAAAGTGAATTGAATGGAGATATCAACACAAACCGTCCACCAGACATTTTTAGTTTGCAAAGTGAAACGGCTCAAACAGCTTATTTGAGATTCAACGCGGTGAATCTAGTGTAATACTTTTGGGAGACTTTTGGAGAGGTGAGCCAAGATCGTGGAGGTGTGGCGAGGGTAATTCTCGAAGATCAAAGAGACGAGGTGAACACGAAACACACGTTAGCAGCAATTTAAAATGAGTCAAAGTTTCAGAAGGATTGGAATTCTCACTAACAATGTACAATACAATACAATGATACAATGTTCTGGTTTTGGTGTTCTATCTTCTCACGAAATGGATAAGAATCACATTAAATACTCAGGCATGAACTAACAAGCTGTTAAAGTGTCAGTCAGTTGTGTGGAGGCAGGGTCATCTAACACTCTTTGTTGAATATTGTTGTTTTTTGTTTATTTTTTCCAATTACATTTTGTTTGGTCCAACAGAAAGAGTCACAACATGCTGTCTTTATTTCACTAGATTTGGTTTTTTTTTTTTTGCATACTTGCATGAAAGAGCCTTGGGAGTCACTCTTTGACTCTTTGGGCGGTGAGATGAGAGCTGGGAGAGGTTGGTCAATTATTTTTCTTGTATAGCACTAAATCACATCAGTAATTATCTTGGAGTACTTTACAAAACTGTTGAATTTGCCAACAGTTAAAACACAAGAAATACAACAGAAAACACATTGGCATTGGTCCATAAGTAAGGGATAATGTACCGCACATATAATGTATCGTCGCCCTGTTGGTACTTATTTTCCGATAATGACCTGTGTACTATACATTATCCCGCTTATTATATGGCTTTGTACCAACAGTACACACAAAATAAACTTCAGTCCACTCTTAGGATGCCAAAAGGTTTATTTAATGACAGAAAATAAAATAGTTCCCAAAGGCTTTCCCGTGGCTATGCAAGTAACAGTTATGGTGCGTTCAGACCAAACGCGATTTCTGCGGCCAAAGCGGCGGGTCTACATTGACACAACATGGGGGACGCGCGCCAAGGAGCGGCGAGAGATCACGCGGCGCGATTCGCGCGGCCAGAGCGGCGCGAATTCGAGCGTTTCGCGCGATTCGCGCGGCGTGTTTTGAGATGTCAAGCGTTTTGACGCGCGTTTCGCGCGATTCGTGCCTCCAACGCGGCCGCCGCTAGAGTTGAACAATGTTGAACTTTTTGGGAGAATTCGCGTGTGCCGACCAATCAGGAGCTTTCTCCTCCAGTGACGTAGTGACGCATTTCACTACCGGAAAAACACTGGTAGATGACAGCTATGGAGGACACGTCAATTGCTCAGGTCGGTGCTCATTCTGAGCTATATAACACTGCGGACCACAGCTACCGGGACCGAAATAAAAAGAAGCTTGCTTGGAGGAGGGTTAGCGAGGTGGTTGGTGTCTCGGGTAAGTTATTTTAACTTTTCAATGTTGTAAATATTTCCCCGCGAAAAAAACTACTACTTTCCTGCTTACGAGTTGATGTGTTTATTCAGTGGAAGTTTGCAAAAAGCGGTGGAAGAATCTGAGGGACACATATGAGGTGCTGAAGGTCGGTGTCATGCAGCAAACGGAGACCTCGAACAGTTGGAAAAAATACATTTCTTTCCTTTCTATTACCCACATTTTGCTGACTTTTACATTTATATTGCTTTCTGTGTATGCATTTCTTTTAATGCTTTCTTAACATCATGGCCAGGTGAAAATAGGCATTGGCTATTTTCAAACCAGGATAGATCTTGATCATGTGTTGTGTTAAATTTCACTTTTCCCTTTTATATGAACAAATCATTTAAATGTACATAATAATGTACATTATTATGTACATATAAATGTCATAAGCGCAATGTACACATGATATGAAATAATTGTATTTCTTGTTTTCTTCTGGCGCAGATACTGCCACCACCACACAAGGTGAGACATCTTGGCCTGAGCTGCTGCTGCTGCTGCTGCTGCTTCCTCAGCCGGTTCTTCTTCTGTGAGGGCTGGACCTTCCCCTGCTTCTGCACCTACAGGTGTGGCTTTTTTTAATCATTGTTTTATTTTTATTCTTATTACAGGACTGTTCATATAAACAAAATGTTACTGCATAATATGCCAAAATTACCCAAGGGCTGTTACATCAGTGTAGACGACAAATTTACAGAGAAACGACAAGATGTCAAGGCACTACAGGTGGAAAGAAGCTTTGGTCTGATACAACACATCTTCCCTCTTTCTTTGATAAAAACATACTACTGAAATACCTTATGCTATAAAAGTACTGAACAAATACATGCAATGGTTGCCACAAGATGGCAGCTATCCTGTTTAATGCAGACAATAGAGTATTACTTTTTTACAGCCAATTTCAAATTTCATTGCGAAATACACTTCAGAGATATTAGTTTGTAACTGTCGAAATTTGTGCATGTGTGAGTAATTTCATTGATAACTGCAATGTTCAAGTTAATTGTAACAAACACACAACTTAAAAGTGTTTTACATGTGTTTAACTATGTCTACACACTCTGGCTTTAATACAGATATTATTTGCTCTCTTCATTTTGCTTTTTTGAAATACATGTTCCACTTTTTAACACTGTGATTGCCCTGTGTTCTTTGAAGGCCCACCAAGGAAGAGGGCTCGGAAGAGGCCCACGTCCGTAGAGCCGCCTTCAGAGTGGGAGCGGGAGCTGCTGGAGACTCTACGGACCAAAGCAGCCGCACCGCCCCACAACTCAGAAGAACATCAGTTCCTGCTCTCTCTCGTTCCTCTCCTGCAAAGGGTGGCACCAGAGTCAAGAGAATTTGTTAAATTCAAAATGTATCAACTTCTATATGAAAGCAGCACCGTTCTGCTTAATTTGGAACCATTGGCCAGAACAGACAGTTTTTTGACCTAAGGTGACACCTTTTGCAGGGGAGGAAACAGACATGTGTCCCTTTCCTCTTCCACCGCACCTCCTCCAAGCAAGCTCCTTTTCATTTGTTTATATGTACATTTCATTTATTTTTCATTGTTTGTTCCTTTTTTTATAAAGAAAATATTTTTCAAACCTCATGTGTTCTACTTCAAGCCAACCATTACTACCTTTCATATAATATTGACAGAAAATGCTATTCTATATTTGTACATTTACTTTTATAAGAGCTGACTGGGTTTTATAGAAGATGGAATAACAAACACTTAAAGAGCGATACAGTAGTTGACAGTATTTTTTATTCATTTCACCTTTTACTGTTTTAACAACCTTGTAATTATGGAAAAGCTTGAATGTGCATATGATTAACCTGAAGTTGGAGTGGAGTCGCAGTGGAGTCTGGCAGTCATTACCTAGAAACAGAAGGTATACAGGTGAATAGAATAGTGCAAATCAATATGGGTTTGGACTATGGCCAGATGTGGGTCAGTCTTGTGGTGGACATGACTACTCTGTGGGCTGCCACGGCAGTGCTCCCTCCTCACTGAAGTGGGCCATGAACACTTTCCTTATGTCCACTGCTGGCTTCCAGGCGGCCATCCGCTGCACGCCTGGAAGTGGTTCTTCACCGGCAGCAGCTCCCCTCGGTGCAGGAACCTGCCCATCTCCAGCCATCCTCATCCTCATCCTGGAGATGGGCAGGGCGCATTAAATTGCAGCGCAGTGAAAAGGCCTCATCTGCCACGAACACATGGGGCTGGGGTCCTCTGTGGTCAGCTCCAGGTATGCACTGGTCAGGAGGCAGGTCGAGTGTGCCCTCGCGCAGAGCCTCACCAAAGGCAGAGTTGGACACGATGCCTCCATCGCTGGATCTGCCGTACCCTCCCACATCAATCACCCTGAACCTGTACTGGGCATCCACTACAGCCAGGAGCACAAGGGAATGGTGCCCCTTATAATTAAAAAACATGGACCCAGAGTTGGGGGGTGCCTTCACAGCCACATGCTTCCCATCAATGGCCCCACAGCACAGAGGGAAGTTCCATCGGACCTCCACTCCTCTGCTCCAGGCACAGCCATGAACTCCTCCACGAGGCAGTCCCAGATGGCTGCCACCACATCTGGGATGAGCATGGAGACGGTGGATATGCCCGCTCTGAAGCTCCCCGCAATGGTCCTGTAGGAGTCCCCAGTGGCAAGAAACCTGCAATTACAAAATGATATGAACATATTTATCACAATTACATTCATAAAAATCACGTGACAAAACTTGTGTAGCATAAAATACGTTAAACTAGTAGACAGTAAACATCATAGACAGTAATCATAGACACCATATTGTTGCATAATACTGTTTTCTGAGCAATTACATTGTGGATTGTGATTGAAAAATGACACACTTTGTAAGTTTTTAGGAATTCTGAATGGGGTAAAAAACACTAACCGCAGACAGATGGACAGGCGCTCTTCAGCTGGAATAGAGCGCCTGTAGTTGGTGTCCTGGTAGGAGATCCTAGCGCCAATGAGGGTCAGTAGGTCGTCAAACTGGGCCAGGGAGAGACGAAAGTACCGCTGAAAGCGACCCTCATCCGAGCGCAGCTCCCGGAGCAAATGGTGAAACTCACCAAACTCCAACCGTCTACGGACTATCTGATGAATCCAGACACGTCGTCGATTCGCCCTTTGACGACGTGTCTGGCTTTATTTATCAGATAAAGCAACTCCTTCGCTGACATCCATTTTGGGAAGCTACAGGCAAAAGAGACAAGCCCCGCCCCTAGACGCTCTCAACGCTCTGTGACAGCGGCCGCCCTCTAGTGTCCTGGCCGCGCGGCCAAGTTTCTCTGTGACAGCGGCTGCCACAATTTGTCACAAGCGGCTCAAGCCGCGCGATAGACGCGATTTGGCCGCAGAAATCGCGTTTGGTCTGAACGCACCATTAGACTAGTAACAGTTAGGATAGCAACTTCCAAACTAGAACTCCCTGGAACTGCATGAAAACTGAACAAAGAATTCTGAACATCAGCGGTGAGTGACCCAAACATATTATTGTAATCATTATGGATTTAGGTTAGGTTACCTAAATCCATAATTTGATCCTCTGCAAATGTTCCTAAAATGTCCCGGAATCTACTTCCGGGTTTTTCGCGATAGCTTTTTTCTAGAATTAGAATAGTATTTTTGTCATGAAAACCTTAACAGAAAATTCTGAAATCCTCCGTGCATGTGTACTAAGAATGTATATGTCTAATGTATTCTCCGATTAACATTTAATTGTGTTGATTAATAGGTATTCACGTTTATTGAGCGTGGCTAGCTCCGGAGTAGCCGGAACTACTCCCGGGTTTTTTGCGATCGCTTTTTCCTCGCATTAAAACAGTCTTTTGTCATGAAAAGATTAACAGAAAATTCTGAAATCCTCTGTGTACGTGTACTAAGAATGTTTATGTCTTGTGTTGATTGATTGGTATTTGCGTTTATTGAGCGTGGCTAGCTCCGGAGTGGCCAGAACTTCTTGCGGAGCAATCTACACACATTAATTACAAGCAGAGAGTGCGTTGCCATGGGCATCGGTCATTATTGTTTTGAGAGGTCCGTTATAAGAAAAAATGACCGGTAGAACGTTTTGAAATTGCATTCAAATCAATGGAGCGTTCTACTGCTGCTGTGAGGAGCCGTGTAATAAGAGGCAGATAACCAATGTCCAGAAGTATTGATACATTAATTATGATTTTCTGTATAAAAAAGTGTCCCTAAAAATGTGACTAAGAAATACATGAAAAACTAATGTTATATCTGAGCAAGGAACTAGTTGGATAGATTTGAAAACATATTTAAATTCTTTGTAAACCCCCGCTTTAATGTCATGACCACAACAATGAATAAAGCAGTGATTCAAAACAGAAGGTGCCCACTGGTGAAGGACACGTTCTTTACTTTCCAAATCACCTCCAACATGCGACCGCAGCGTGTTGTGAGACAGACAATGTGTTAAAGATTACAACAGATTTATGTTTGCATCGTATGTTCTTTGTGTCCGAGTGTCTGCAGTGAATCAAAACAGTGTTGGAGAGAGCTGTAAGTGAAGTCTATAAAAGGCAGCTGGACCTGTCAGAGCCGTGACAGGCGTCTGACGGCTGAGAGACAGAAGGAGGGAAGAGCAGGACTAACACTGCATTTCACTCCAGAGGCCAGAGAGAGGAGGAGACATAGCAGCTAAAGCAGTCAAACACTATCTGTCTCACGGTTAAAGTGTAGTGTTGTGTTAAAGCTGGAGGACGCAACTTTCAAACAATAATAATGGATGGATCTATGTAATTCCCTTGTGCTATCCTCGGGTCTAATTGACCCACCAAAGTGATCAAAAAAAAACCTAACATATTTTTTTTCAAGCTGAATTTTGATGATTTTTTTAACCAGTCCTACGTTGTCTAGTCCAGTGTTTCCCAATCTTCTTGTAGTCGTGACCCTAGTATGAAAGCAAAGTCATTCTAATCAAAGTAGAGCTATACTGTATAGAAAATTAAACAAGAGCAAAAAAATCTTTCTTATCTTCTCACATTATTTTCTTTTCACATTATGTTAACCTTTTATGTGATATTGTAATATTTCCCAAGGCACACTAAACAACATCTCAAGGCACGCTGATGCACCACAACACACTGGTTGAAAAACACCGGTCTAGTCCATTTTAGACACTAATTTAGGGTATTCTACTTTTAGTCACCGTGGCAGGGTAATTTTGACCCAAAGGTTGCACATTTAGCCTAGTTACTGGCTCTAAAACATTTTGATTCGCTTTAGATTAGCTTTTCAGACACAAAATAAGTGAAAAAGAACTCTTACTCTGAGTCAAGTAGTGACTCACAGGTCTCTTTCTTCCTCTTTTTACTTTTACAACATACTTTCTGTTGGACAAACATCATGTGTTTTATGCAGAAAAAAAATTTGATATATATAGTTGTACCCCAGCTTTAAATGACATTGAAAATGGGCAAATAGCAAGGATGTATGGAGAGAAAATCAATGGATGGATGGATGCACTTTACAAAGTTGTGGATTCCCCAACACAATCTGTTTTAAATGTTTGTGACAAGATTTTTATTTGAAAATCAAGTGTTTAAAGTGTCTTTATTTTTAAATAAAGCCTGGAAGAAGCGGCAGTCTCATCTATTTAAATAAAAGCAGCACTAGACACTATAATAAAAAATATCTATCTATGTATTTTCCTGACCCTCCCTTTGGTAGGACTCCTTGATCATACGTGTCCATAACAATGACACGCTTTGATTGTAAGCAGCTGCAGTACATCCAAAATGCAGCAGCTAGAGTCCTGACAGGAACCAGGAAGTATGACCATATTAGTCCGGTCCTCAGGTCTCTGCACTGGCTTCCTGTGGCTCAAAGAATAGATTTTAAAACAGCTCTGCTTGTGTACAAGTCTCTCCATGGCCTTGCACCAAAATACATTAGTGACATGTTGGTGTCATATGAACCAGCCCGGACTCTGAGGAGCACAGGGACTGGCCTCCTGCTGGTGCCCAGAGTGAGAACCAAACATGGGGAGGCTGCGTTTCAGATCTATGCAGCTAAGATCTGGAACAATCTCCCTGAAAATGTGAGGGAGGCGTCTACTCTGTCAATGTTCAAATCCAGGTTAAAGACTGTTCTGTTTGCCTGTGCATACAACTGAAGGATTTTATCTCCATTTCTAATGCACTGTTGTCATTTATTTATTTATTTTTTTAAATTTCTTGTGTAATTTTGAAAGTTTTAATGGTTTTATTCTTTTGTGTGATTTTAATGTTTTAATTGTGTTTTAATCTTTTGTGTGATTTTAATGTTTTAATTGTGTTTTAATCTTTTGTGTGATTTTAATGTTTTAATTGTGTTTTAATCTTTTGTGTGATTTTAATGTTTTAATTGTGATTCTGGTGTTTGTTTTATGTGATGATTTGTGATGTGGACTGTGAAGCGCTTTGTGTTGCCCTGTGTATGAAAGGCGCTCTACAAATAAACTTGATTGATTGATTGATAAATGCAGCCTGTGTCGTCTGTGCTGTCAGATTTCAGTGGAAACATAGAACACATTTAGTATAATTCATGACGACATTAATCTTTATGTGGCAGTGAGCAGCTGTGTCGCCTGTTCACAGATTAACACTCTTTCAACAAACTACTTTACTTTATGACTAGAAACGTGTGGACACATGATTAAGGAGTTTCTCTGTCTCCAATACCTCACTGTCTGAACACAGTCATTTGAAAGTCATCCTTCATTCAGATACATTGTAACTTGCATAACTCAAACTCACTGATAACATCTTGTTTTGGATGTGCAAATGCAAAGGTCACATGTGGGAAAATAAATGACTGATATTGAATTCAAAGCATCTTATCTGTGGCCTTACCTCTATGTGAAAGTCAGATCCCGTCCAACCTCTGAAGCTATGCAGGGCAGGGCCTGGTTAGTAAAGTGTAAATGGCCCAACTGTCGTTCTGTCTCTAGGCAAGACACTTCACCCACATTGCCTAGAGTGAGTCTGGTTATGTGTGGTTGGTTGGTGGTGGTCGGGGGGCAGATGGCTCATACTGGTTGCTTCACTACTGTTAGTGTGACATGCAAAGCGTCTTTGAGTGTCAAAAGGGTACTATATAAAACAGATACATTATTATTATTACTTGATCTTATTCACTTAAAATATTTTGTCCCAATCGCTAATAGACTGCTAAACTCTTGGAAGTTTGTTGATAAAACGGACTTTAGTGTGTGTTTGAGATTGCATTATTGTATTGTATATTGTCTATTATTAGGAACGGTGGCTGAGTGGATAGCACTCAGCCTCTCAGCAAGAAGGTCCTGGGTTCGAATCCCGGTCGGACCAGGGCCTTTCTGAGTGGAGTTTGCATGTTCTACCCGTGTCTGCGTAGGTTTCCTCCGGGTGCTCCGGTTTCCCCTACCACTAAAAACATGCACAATAGGTCTGGCATGCGCCTCCTGCTCGGCGACCCACGAGGACAACTGCAATAGTTTTGGGCTCTTCTTTGAGAAACACTGGGTTAACACATTTCTGAACATTTCTGAACTCTGCTCATAATTGCACGACTTTGCTAACACGATTTCTTGGGTTGGATTATCTACTCGCATTGGATAAAGTCATAAATCCACGATGCTACAATTCTGCATCAGCTGCTAATTCCTGTCTAAGTGCATCACATTTGCAGTTGTATCTCCAGGAGGCCGAGAAACGCCCTTCAGTGATTCCTGAATAATTCCACGCCCACCAGGGATCGAGCGGCAAAATGCAATCAGAGCTGCAGACTCAAAATCCGGTTTGAGACCACGATGATTTTTTTCATGCTCGGCTAAAGAAAGCTGTCCTCAGAAACTGTACAAAAAAGCAAGTGTGAAGTCTTCCGAGCCAGTGACAGTGGGCGACCCGAGGGGACACTGGAGGGTGGGGGGAGTTCCCTGGAGAGACGGCCACTGACAGTACATTTCCCGGTGAAGAGGAGCAGAGTCTAAAAAGAGATGAGGTCCTGACTTTAGAGATATAAAGAGGAGAACTGTAGGGAGAGGGATTAGAAAGTGTTTGAAATGTAAAGTCTGTAATGATCATGCTGTAAAAGTCTTGTGGCCTGATTACGAGTCAAAAATAGTGTTCAAAGACAAGTTTCAAGAATGTATGTTTTGAATAAAAAGATGATTTCAAAATGAGATGGTTGTATCTTTGGTATATTTTCTTTTATGTGTTATTGAGAAAAAGACATAATAATGAATCGGTTTTATATAGTGCTTTTTTGGACACTCAGAGACGCTTCACATGTCATTATTCATTCACTCCAAACACGGTGGTGATAAACTACTACTGTAGCCACAGCTGCCCTCATTCGAGACAATGTGGGTGAAGTGTCTTGCCCAAGGACACAACGACAGCAGACATCAGTGGGAGTCGGTGGAGAAATTCTTGTGGTGGGCTCGAACCGACAACCTTCGGTCTCAAAGGCCAATGCTCTACCAACTGAGCCACTGTCGCCCCAAAACATAAATACAGAAGCACACACAGGTCCAGGACATACAACAAAATGAGACAGGACAATCTCTAACAAAACAAAAAAACAAAAACTTGGGACTAAAGGTCATCTGAAGTACTTTCCAACACGGTAATGCTACATCTGTACGCATCCTCACTGTGGTGTTCCAAGTACACAATGTTTGCAAAAGTCATCACCTACTGCCGGGTGAGTGAGAGAGTGAGTGAGGGGGGGTGAGAGAGAAAGTGAGGAATCTTCCACCTCCACGTCCGGTTCTCAAATGAAACCTTCCTCCCACTCCTTTTTGAGTTTAATCACGTACAGCATTGTCATAAGTACAGTAATTGTTCATGAAGATATGTTAAAATATCCTATGTACTGACATTTGATAATAATGTTTGATGTACATTGAACTGGAAATAAACAAACACTCATCTCAACCTTTTCAGTGCAATCCAAATAAAGTCATTGAGCAGATGGAGCTGTGGCGAGCAGGGAACAGGCTTGACAGAGTGACCAAATTTTTTTTTGGTTTTTTAGATTAGCTTTTGATTAGTTTTTATTATTCCATTCTATTTATCTTTTATTATTTATTATTTATTATATTGCTATTGCTATTATTCATGTATTGTGTGTTCCTTTTAGTCTCACATTTTAGTGTTTTACTTATTGTATTGTTTTTAGTGTACCCAGTGTTTCCTCTGGAGGAGCCCTCTGCACTGGGAGCAGTGGTCGGTGTGGCTGCGGGGGTCGGCCTCGGTTTCATGTCTCCTCTGGGTCCTGTGTCGTCCCCTGTGGCTACAGGCGGCTCTCTGCTCCTGGTGCAGACGGCTCCTTGGATAACGCTTTTTCAGCTGGTTGCATCTGAACCCTGCCAAGTCTCTCATCATGGTTTTATTGTTTTACTGGTGTGTGTGTGTGTGTGTGTGTGTGTGTGTGTGTGTGTGTATGAGTGTTCATGAGCGCGTGTGTGTGTGTTTGTCTGTGGTTTGGGGTGGGTCTGTTGGGTGGTCTGGGGGAGGGGTCTTGGGTCGGCGGGATTGTTTTTAACCAAACTGTAAAGCACTTTGTGTTGCATCTTTTGTATGAAAAGCGCTTTATAAATAAAATTTGATTGATTGATTGAAAATATCACCTACCACTGTCTGAAGACTAACATTGGTATCTTAGGAACAAGCAACTTGTTTTGTGCTTTCCTCAAGTGCGTATTTGCAAGCCAAAGACATATTTGTGGCATCACAATATGCGTGGCAGACAATACAGTTATTTCATTACTTTCAATTCTTGAAGGTAACATAACAAATACTCACACCACAACATTCCTAAAGTGTCATTCCAGGTGCGGTCTGAGGCATTCCTCCAAGATCATCTGAGAAAACAAATAGAAAAATGGTGCTGCACAGTAAGAATGCATGTTTGTTGAGCTCAATAGATTAACAAGAAGGATAAACAATATTATGTTAAATACATCTCCACGGAGACCAGCAGTTGGCAACCTTTCTGCAATAATGGTGACTTTGTCCATTCGTGGCTTTGCATTGATAATTACCCAGACCTTAACTCCCTCCATAATATTACTCTTTCTAAAAAGCACACAGGGATATTTAAACTAGATCTTGGCATTATTTTCAGACATACATCCTCAAATAAGCCCCAGCCCATTCATTCATTACATTGTGAAATCTTGCAGCTTGAATGTCCCATTAATTTGCATAAAAAAAGAGTGATTTAACATGTTCAAACACGGGCTATATAAGTGAAATATGGCTAATCCACATATGCAGAGTGACTGTCTGAGGCCCTGTTTATACTGAGACGCTGCGCAGACGTTTCCAGGCTATTAACAGAAACGACCTGGCTCCTAATGCAAATCGTTGAAAAACGATGTAGTTCTAGCGCCCGGCCAGTAGTGGGCAGATAAACTTTACAACACTCACACGACCCCCAGCCCCGTGCCCAGCCCCCCTCTCGGCAGTGTACTCACTTCCTGTGCCAGACCCTCAGGACGCACCAGCATCATTCTGCATTTTAACAGCAGCTGTGAAAATGGAAACTAAACCTAGAGCTTCGCGTGGTCTCGTTTGGACGAACGAAGGTGTAGAATTATCCTCTGTCCCGCGCTGGAATCCCACGAAGCTAGTTAGTTTACCGGCCGCCATTATTGTTGATGATTGTTCTCCGCTACTGCGCATGTCCAAATTTACGTGCAGGGAGCAGCGCGGAGGCGGGGGTCAGAGCAGAGGGGGATTTCACACCTTTCTCCCTCTCGCGGGTGTGAAAGAGCTCCCTGCTGTGCAGCGTATCTGAGTTGTCCCACTCTGCAGGCTGGATCTGAACACTTACGTTTTCACCCCCCTGGAACACAGTCTTCGTATGAACGGTTGGTAGCAACCGACATCCAACTATACCGTTTTACTGCCACATTGTCTCCGTGTAAACTCAGCCTGAGGAAAACCAGGGTTTGAGCCGGATTGAGTTGAGAACCAATCCAGTGTAGATGGTGATCTACTGTATAAAGTTTGGCCATTACTGGATCTCTGCCCTCTTCGATGTTGCATACCATAGACCAGGGGTGTCCAAACTGGTCCAGACAGGATCGGCTCGGCTAGATGTAACCCCTCGTGCCACACTGGCCCTTGAGGACAAGTTTGGACACCTCTGCCATAGACTGTACATTAGAAGTGATCTGACTGAGTGCTGAGTCTTCCATGCATTACATTCTCAAAGAGTACTGTACTGTTTATGAAAAGCTAAAAACTAAAATAAAGTTCTACCCTAAAAACAAGACTGCGTAATGCCGTGTGCAGGGCTCTCCCCCTCGGTGCCGCTTCAAGGCCAAAATGTCAATTACTTGATGAAAAGGCGTCTGTGGTGGATTTTAGGCGTACGGAGGGGGGAGGGGAGAGAGACACAAACTGCTGAAGCCGCACTGTCCGTGGCTCCAGGCTGGACTTTGCATGGACAAGATGTTTCTCTAATAACTCCATGCATCAGCAGTAAACATAGCTGCCCTGAAGTTCCTGCCCCCCCTCCCCCACACCCCTCTCCCACCCACTGAGGCCTGGGAGAACTTTGTACACATGTTGTTTTCTTCCTTCATGAAATCAAAGTGCGATAGTTCAGGTCGGAGGCTGTGTTAGCGTGAACTCAGCCTCTCCATGTTTATGTGATTTAAAAGTACAGACCACAGTGACCTTGATGGTGCTGTGTTTCATGCACATAGAGGGTTGGCATCAATAAAACAAGTAAATAAAAATTCAAATAATCAAGAAGAGTGAAAAGAACCGTATATGCGGGGGATTTAGAATGAGGAGGTTAAAGAATATTATAGATTTTTGTTGTCAGATTTTGATATAGTTACTTATGTCAGCGATTTCAGTTCGACATCCTACTTTGTCCTATTGTTTATAGTACACTGAACTCAGTGGCTCAGTGTGTAGAGCATTGGCCTTTGAGCCTGAAGGCCGTGGGTCGAGCCCACCACGAGACCTACTTCACAACTCCCACTGATGTCGGCTGTTGTTGTGTCCTTGGGCAAGGCACTTAACCCCACTTTGCCTGAAGCCCCCGTGGAAAGATCAAAAGCTGTGTCACTGACAGAGCAGCCATCCTCCTGTGGACTCACTACCTGCAGGAGGATCAGTGAGGGGATGGTACCATGTGACTTGGGTGGCATCTCTCACTGCCACCCCCCTGACCCAGAAATGGATTAAGGGGTAGAACATGGATGGATGGATGAACTGTATCATTTCCAGTACAGATGGATCCTGTCTTTGTCTTTCCATCCATCCATCCATCCATTTTCTACCCTTTAATCCATTTCTGGGTCAGGGGGGTGGCAATCAGAGATGCCACCCAAGTCTCATAGCACCAGCCCCTCACCGACCCTCTGCAGGTGGTGAGTCCACAGGAGGACTCAGATTCAGATTCAGATTCATTTATTTGCCATTTGCAGTAAAACCACATTGGAAGAACTGTGCAAGACTACCCCGGTGTGCACCAGACAGAGAAGACGACACACACCAGAGCTCTTGACTCACCACCTTCTCCAAAAACAAATTTATGGTGTTGACGGGAATTATTGGTGCACAATGTTCACCAATCACAAGATCAAAGTTATGCAAGTTTTTGTAAAAGTTCTCATGACAAATACAACAAATCAGATAATAATACAAAAAAATAATAACTAGCTACTCTAGTCACAGCTGCTTGGAGCCATCTGCCCCTTCAAACACCATCCATTTACACACCAATTTCCTTCTTGGCAATGTTGGTGAAGGACACAATTTGAACAGTTGAACAGTTTGGTATTTTTCAACTCCCAGAGGTCTCCCATCACGGTAATGACCAGGCTCTGCCGAAATTAGCTTCAGAGAGTATCAGGCTTTCACATGCAGGTGTCTAGCCAAAACCCATTAATCAAGCAGGACATCACCAAGTTTAACTAACTCACACGTCGTCCAA